TACCTTATATAGGGAAACATGACATATTGAGGGGAGAAATCCAGGGCAGTTCTTATGCAGAGATTTCTGCCTATTCTGATTAAGCACAAAATGTTAAAACATCAAAACTTTTCATGAAAAAAAAAAATCTCACAAAAAATCTCGATCAAGTTTTTCGAGGCTGAATTAAATCTAAGAATTAGTTCCAGAAGCAAAGTCACCTCCATTTGCTTTGGTGACCCAGTCTCTAGGAATAGGATTTTCCCTCTTTTTAGATGACTAGCGGGATCGTACCTGTCCATGCCAACTCCCGCTCTCCTCGCTGGCGGCGTGCAGCTACTCCGGAGGCAAATTCCCACTGACCACACGTGGAAGGCACACCTGGAAACCGGCAGGCACACACAGCACGGCCTTTGCCCCTCACAGCCCTGCAAACTCCCGGCTGGGGCGCCGCCTGCCCCGTGCCACCCCAGAGCTAAGCCGTGTCCCCACCACCAGTGGCACCATCGGCTGGCCAGGCCATGGCGGGCCCGGCCCAGGGCGCCGCTCCTCTGCCCGGCACGGGCGGCCTCCGCCAGGGAGGTGCCATCCACAGCCCACGCTCCAGCAAATGCTGCCATGGTGCCTGGGGGGCCGTGCAAGAGCGACACCCACCTCCGCATGGGCAGACAGGAGAGCTTCTGCATCAGGGCCTCATCCCGGGCCAGCAGGTAAAAACGGCCGCGGCGCGCGGCCCAGGGGCCTGCGCTCCCCCGCCATGGCCTCGCCAGCCAAACTCGCCTCGCAGACATCACACTGCAGGGCAAGGTTATTCACCAGCATGGAAAATGACTGAAGAACGAGCAAAATTATCGCGGCTGAAATATCTATATAACAAGCTGGTTACTTGCAATGAACTTTCATCCCCTTCGGCCCTGCCGTCAGTTTTGCCTGAAACACCAGCTACCCGTCTTTCCTGTGAAAAAGAGACAGTTAAGGCCTTCTGGCAATTTACATTTATTACAAGTCTCTCTTTTTGTCTTCTTCTAGTCCCATAGCTTGGATCATCCACATTTCTTCTGACTAAAACCCTGGAAACACAATGTCCAAGACTCCGGGAACACTGTGTATTTGACTCGCGCCAAATGGAATGTATTACTAGATTACACATATGATCTTCGTTATCTGGGATATTTAGCCTTTGGCACAGGACCCCTAGAAGATGACATGCCAGAACCACTTACTGTGCACTGGAAGAAGGAAGAACAGCCTCTCTGTGAATGGCATAACATTACTTCTATGTAAACAAGGGGAGGAAACACCTTGGGAACTTGTCGAATCTCCAGTTTTTACCTTCCACTTCTCCAACCATAAAAGCCACATAACGAAATTGAGTAGAGGTAACATTTTAGGAACTTCCTCTTCAGGTCCTTTAGGGATTTATTAATAAAACTTTCTAAAAAATATCCTTTGGGATTTTTTTTTAAACAGCCTGTGCTTCTAGCTTACACCAAAATAATATCATAAACACTCATCATACTGTAAAAAAGAGTCATTACATTTTCAGTATTTTAACACCTTTAATGTGTAGAGACACAGATCTATAAATGGTCTTCCAGACCCAGAAATTGTGAGGTTATATTACTTGGTTTCAGCATGTAAAAATATCACCTTCAAAGATCTGTTGAGGTGTGCCATGGAAAAGGGGAAGCTGCTGGCAGCTGCAGCACAGAGTTTGGCTGTCCCTGTGAAATATAAGAGATGCAAGCACAGGACCACCAATGCAGAGCAAAAACTTGGGTTTTGTCATGTGTGAAAATTGTTTTGAGAGACAGTAGAACAAAAGCTGAAAATTTTACTTAAAACAAGTTTTTATTATTCTGTATCAATTATTTGGGATGACAATACCCGATGCTTTAAATCCAGGCCTCAGACATTTCTGTACCAAGCATGTAATTTGTATTGCACTGAACTGTATCATTAAGTTGTGCAGGTTTCACTAAAGGACACCAAGAAAAAGTAAGAGGAAGATTACAACTGCGGAACAAATCCGTGGACAAATATAACTAACCCAAATCTTTTGCTGATTTCAGACACATTAATGGAGTTAACAATCAAATTTATTTTTTCTGCACCTGAAAATGAGCCAAGAAAAATACCAAAAGCTTACTTTTCCAATGTATTTCTACAATAACCTTGCTCAAAGTTCTTCTGAAGAGTACATCTCATGATGTGAAGAGTCTTTACATGGCTATTCATCACAATTTTGTGATGAAAAAGAAGCTGTACAGGGAAAAAAGGAAGAGAAACAAGAACAACGTGGCAACGGTGGTCTGCATATCTTCATCTCTTGGATGTAAGGGCCCAAATTCCACTATAATATCTGTACTGTTTACTATGTTTCTCTTCTGCCTGCAGGTACAAGTCAAATGAGGCATGGATTACAGCAAGATTTCCCTTCTGTGCACCACCATGCCATACAGCCATCCCAGAATCTTCTACAGGCCGAATACCACGGGACTCCTTCTATATGATTGACAAGGCAAGGAAAGATTTGTAATGAAAGCTGAATGTTAATCAAACCCAGTGATACAGCAGGAGGAAAAGATGACAAGCTTTTAAACACACAAGACTTTCAGACTTGCTTCTCTTTCAGGACTGGATAAGAGGACAATGGCACAAACAAGCACTGGTTTTTCCAGCTAGATCATCTTGCTCACATCCTTGTGTCATCACAGCTACCATAACACTACCATCGAAAACCTTAGTCCTCTGAATGCTAAATAGACATCTCCAGATGTCACAATGGTTTCTTTGAATAAAAAGCATTAATAAACTTTAAAATGCCCCAGAGTAAGTCTGTCGAAAGTGCCACTACATTTTATGAAAGTGCCCTGCATATAAAACAGGGACACCTGACATATAAAGTGGTATAAAAATACAAACTGACTCGGCTTCTAAGTATTTCCTGCCCTTTTAAACTTTGCACTTGTTCATTAATTTCAACAAATATTGAGGTGAGCCAGCTGCTGAGGTGAGAGTATTCAAATAAATCCCTCACAGATGTTTGTTAACTTCAGATAGGAGCTTTATTATCTACAAATCATTAATCAACCATTAACAAGTAAGTGTTATGGAGTCCCACTATTAAGGTTCACTGCCAGAGAAGAATGATAGATTTTGCAGAATGGCTGTGTCTATAAGAACTAAGAGCAGAGACAGGTTTGAGGTAAAACATTTGGAGGAGATTAGAAAACATGAGAAGTCGTTTTGTTGCTCTTCAGCTCTCCTTCAGAGAAAGCACTTCACCAGAGTTAAGCATTTACACAACAAACCGAGTGGAAAGATCAAACTCATCCATCAGTTTGGTGATGAAGAGGAATGTGCTTTGCACAGCCAAACAAGGAAGTCAGGCACAGGTGAGAATTGCTGCTCCTGTGAACAATAATAAACACCATCCAAAGTGTCACACTCTAAACTGAAAGACTCTGAAGCTACAAAATCACCTGCTCTGACTTGAGAGTCCTCAGACTTCACCCAGTACCTCTCACAAAGGCCACAGACTTCTGCTGAAAATAACAGAAGCAGCTAAATTGTTGCATGCCACAGGCAGAGGACAGGCATGACCGAGGCAGCATCCATCAGTTGTTGTGTAGGATAAGTATTGCTTACAGAACAAGGAAATGCATTTCCCTCTTCGGTCCTCTCCAACACAGCTTCTGCCAGCTGGCCTTATGAAAGAATTGTTCACACACTAGATTTGGAAATAATTCTGATCTGGGCTATACAAGCAAGACACTTAAGAAAGCATAAAATTCTTAGGTGAAAACATAGTGTATATTACACTCGGTGTCTCTCCAGCTATTTTTGATTTCTGATACTTATGGAGCAGGTAATAAAGTAAATTGTAAAAGTAGAATTGAAGAAAAGTATTGTCTGAATACCAGTGGCAAAATGAATTTTGACTTTCCTATTTTGCAACTCTGATTTTTTCACAGAATACTTTCTCAGGGGTCTGAAATACTGTGGAATTCTAAATGATGTCAAACCAGATATTAATTAGATCAAAGACAAAAAACTTTCCAAAGCTCAAGTACTGATTACTTAATGCACCACAGAGTAGGAAAAAATATTCCTTACAAAGCCATACTTTTATTTCCCCAGTAACATTTCTTCATAAAGAGCAATACACAGCTGGAAGCATTAACAGCCGACCAGATGGTTCACTTCTCAATAAACACATTTTGTAAGTTTAAAGTCTAATGAACTGTAGTGCAGGGAGAAAAAGTTATGTACGCAGAGTGGTTCAAATGGCAGGTCAGGGCTGGGGCTGGACAGGGGACTAGCTCCACAGAAACTTCCATTTCTATGGCAGCTTTACATGGGAGGAGGGAGGGAGGGAGGGAGGGAGGATGGCCAATTCTGGCAGAAGACAAGAACAAAAAAGGCTGAATGCTTAACACCCCAAATTCAGCCCCAAAATTGCTAATACTGGACAGGGGAAGGTTGTGATCACCAGATTCTGACCCACAGCACTGTCCTGAACCAGCAGGTGCTTCCAGAGCCCTGGTCAGCCTGTGCCATGCAGCAGGCAATGACAGAAAAAACTTAGCTCAAATTAAATTGTGCAATCCTACAGCGAACAATCCTGAGTTACACCTGACCCTGTGGAAGTGTCCAGGGCAGCAAGCATTCATCTTCTGCCCATGCCATCTCCACAGGATGCAATCAAAGCCAGTCACAAACTGTTCACAGCTGAGCAGCCCAAATGTCTCATGCCTGGTTACATATTGCAGAGCAGCCCTGCCCACCCAGCCAGGTATGAACAACTCAACCGAGCAGCGCTGGGGAAACCCCTTCTAGGAGACCACCAGGTGCCTGGGCTGGTTCTGTCACATCTTTCAGCAGCCTTTATAGCTGTGCAGCTACCGAGGAGCCTGAATTGTGTTCAACAACCTGGTGTGGATAATAGTTCGAAAATATTTCAAGTTTTGGGCTGAGACACTGCAAAACAGTACTGCCAGCAAAAGTCACTGACTCACCTTGAGGCCGATCTAGATCTGCTGAGTGCTTTGACAAAGACCAAAGATGGTGCAGACTGGCGTCTTTGGGCCAAACTCTTCATCTTCTAATTGGAAAGAGAAACAAAATGAAATCACAGGTGAGTTTTGGAACAGTAACTGCACGCACACAGACTGGGCACAGCCAGACTCCAATTTCAGACCATGGGAAAAAGGCTGTTGTTGCCCTCAGCAACCCTGGAGGGGGAAAATATCACAGGGAAATTCCCTCTGAAGGGGGAAAATATGGTAAGAAAAGCAGGAACATTACCAGAAAGCCAGTGTAAAGAAAAGCTGAAAAGTAGTGTCTATACACAGATACTTGAGGTACCCTGCACACATGAAATAAACACCTAGAGCTGATCCTCAACCACTTTTTTGTCCCTTAGTAATTTATTGTACTTTAAATTTATCAAATATCCAGGTGGTGGTTTAAATTTCAAATACTTCATATATTTCTGTGTCATATCTGACATCTACCATAAATTAAGATTTGGATTCTACCTGCCTGACCTTACTCATTATATTAGGCTACCCTTTTTTAACAAATCTTTAAAGATGAGAGCATTTTCCTTCCCTGCTACTCATCTGGAGCGTATCTTGTCCCTCAGTAGTCAACAATGACATTTTTTTCATTGCTGGTTATATATGAGAAAAATAAAATAGAGAGAGGCAGGACAGTTGTTAGCACAGAACTAGGAAGAGAATGAGAAAAAGGAGACACTCAAAGACATAGAACACTGCAGGGGAAAAAAAAAAGAAAGCACAAGGAAGAGATGAAAATGTCAGTAGCTAACAAGAGAGCATGGATTTCCAGTCAGTGAAGTTGAACACTACAATAAAAATACTGAGCAAATAAATACCACTGTTTTCCCCAGAGGTAGAAATTTTCAAAAGCATCCACAGGAGACAAAAACACACATTTTCCTGAACACAATTGTATTCACCACAATGTATTCAGTCTCCCTCCTGCAGCCAGAAGCAAGACTGAGTAGTCCTGGTCCTAACCCTGGAGGGCTGTCTTGAACCGGTTGTGCAGCCTGCTGCCAAGGTGCATGACCTCTCCTCTCCCTGACCCTCCACCAGCAGGGTGACTGTTACCTTATTTAGCTCAAATACTTTTCAGAATAAACTGGTGAACAAAAGAACCAGGGTCAAACTCCTCCTGAGACCCTGACAGGAGAATATCCAATGAGGCAGTGGTACCTTACAGCCACCACTGAGAGCCCACAAACAGGTGAACGTCTGACAGCCACGAAGTCTCTGTTCTCCGCTAATCACAAAGCATGACTCTCTTCCTTCGTACCAAAAATAACCACTGACTACCAGGACAAATATGTCAGGACAGTTCGGAACAAATGATTCAAATGTGTGTGCTGGATGTGGCACGCGTTCTGTTTGGGCAGGTGCACAGTGTGCTCCCCTCGGAGAAAGTGAACTCTGCATATTTTACTCGCCTGCGACAAGTGCATTTATTTTACTCACTGCAGTCCATCTGTTATTGTGCCATTTTTTTGGTTCTCTCTTTATTGATGTAGAGCACGCTTGTTTGTTTTGTCACTCAGTTACAGCTATTGTGCAGCAATTGTTATAAATTCAACTGTGTCATTTCAATTCGCCTTTAAAAATTATCCCCTCCTCCCTATTTTATCAAAAAATAACCTTCTCAAGACTGATAAATTAAGTCTTAGAATATTTAGCTGTCTCCAATTGGACTATAACTGAAGAATAAAAGATTACTAATAAAAGAGATGCCCATTTTTAATATTTTTTAAAATAAATAAGATAAATTGTTCTAGTGAATTAAAGACATTTGTCTTACTGCTAGCTAATCTGAAAAGCTGTTAGAAGTTTTAAAAGTAGCATACCTGTAAATACAAAGACAAAAAGAGATCTGTGTAACAACGCAGTGTAACATACTACAGACCAGCCACATATGTCACACAACAGGCAGATTCAGGAGTTAATATAAAGCATCACCTCCCAGAGGGAAATTTACTGCAATTTACACATTACTGGGCAGGTGGCTTTTGTGGGGGGTAAAAACTGGAGCATCTCAGCTCCTGCAAATGCAGTAGAAGTTTGGTAACATTTTCAAAGAGATCTTCAGGTCTGAAAAGAAAGCCACTGGAGAAAAAAAGGCAGTATTTTAAAAATGATGGCAATTACAGCATTATTTGTCATGCTTGGGTTAGCAGTGCTGAATAGCACCTGTGCCAGTGAGATTCTAGTCTTGACTCAAACGTCTGAAGACCAAAGTAAAGTCTAGACTACAGCAGAGCTCAAATAAGCTCAGTCAGAGGGGATCCCAGCAGGTCTGTGACCCAGCCTCTCTGAACCCGCTGACAGCAAGACCCAGCCAAGCAGGACACTCTGGGCCACCTCCAGTGCAGGTCTGTGTTACCCCAAGGATGAGATTCCACAGCCTCTCTGGGCAAACTCTTAGCACAGCTACTAAGCAAATCTTAACAGAAAAAAAAAATAGCCTCAAAACATAAAAAGATCACTGACGAGAAAAGGAAAATTTTCACAGCACTCAAGTGAGTCAGGTCAGCTGTATGCAAATAAACACATTACACAGAGACATTGATTACAGACAGAAAAGAGTGTTTTATTTTTATTTTGCTACATACAGAGTTTGGGAAGAGAAAATAAGTGACCATCATGACAATTTGAATTGATTCACTTTGAGAAGGGAGAGGATAAATTCACTTTTCCTTAAGTTGGATCCGGTTGCCTGCTATCCTCATTTTTATTGCTTTTATTATGTGCAAGGATGGCAATGTGGAGAAGAGGAGATATATCCTGAACAGCTGTTGTGAGAGCAGATGTTTGGGAGGAAAAGGAGATGCACTGACCAATTATCTAAGCATGGGACACAGAGAAGCATTTCTCAACATGTGTCCCACATCATTACCTCCCATTTTTTCATGTAAATATTAGAAAGGTCAACACAGACAGAAATTCTCATACTTGCTGGCTGAGTCACACCCATGTGAAATGTATCATAAAATCAGTATATATAATGAATGTTTACAGTATGCCAGATGCAAAGATGATAATCTTGTGTCAGGACAAACTAGAGTTACTTCTGTCTTCCTCACATCCAAAAGCTTGAGTTGCTGCCCCTTCCCCTCCAATTCAGGTTTAACTTCATACTTTCTGCATTTCTGGTTGTGGTTGTCTTAAGTTCTTAACAGAAACAAAAAGGTTTTGCATTTTCAGTTGTTGGACTAGTGGTAGATTTTGGCCAGTTTCTCATGTGGCATAAAAAAGGCATAGGCCTGTAGACTGGAAAAGAATGAATTTAGACCAGATATCGATCAGACCTACAATCTGACACACTGTTTTGTAAACTGTGATGGTAGGCAGTTTATGAGCAGACCAGCCCACCATGCTGAGGACAGAAAGCTTGCAAAACATCACTGAAAATATGCTGTCTCTCCTCAGGAACCAGAACCCTATGGATTATAGTAAAACTTGCACAAGTATCTCCCAAGCCATCAGCTGCAGGAAAAACCTGGATGCCAGTATTCAACTAATTTTGCCTCACAGTTGAAGTGGATGATGGTACTATATGAAATTTATATAAATTAATATATTGCCAAGTAACAACATTGATTTCCCCTGTGGAAAAGGTAACTGTGGTAAGATAAAAAAAAAAAAAAAACTGGAACTGTTCCTGCACTTATTGATTTCCACTGTGGAAAAGGTAACATGTGGTAAGATAAAAAAAAAAAAAACTGGAACTGTTCCTGCACTTTATGTGTATCACTTTACTATATCATGCTTCTAAAGAGAGTGGCAGAGTGTGAATTAAATAAAGAATGTATGAAAAAAAAATTAATGGTACTTACAATTTATTTTGTGATGACAAGTAACTTAAGTAATGCATATAGAGTGTTTATAATATTTTCAAGTGTCTAGAGAAGTTAAAAATCTATGCACTAAGTGGATACCCTGCTGCAGCTACTGGTCAGAGCAGGCAGGCTATGACAGGGACTGTGTGCAGGAACACGCTGCCCACACTGCCAGGCTGTGCTGCCTGACCCATGCCATGGTCAGACACACGCAGGAAGATTCCTCTCCTCAGCCTCTGACTCACACACCTGAGCTGTCTGCCCTGTGCTCCTTTTATAGCTGACAGAGAGAAAAGGACAATTTAGGGCACGGCTCATCTTGTCTGAAGAAGTTTTCCTCCACTGACTGTAAAAGAAAAGTAAGGTGACCAAGAAAATAGAGTTAATGATCATCAATCCTCTCCTTGCTATCTGAGCAAAGGACAGGGAACAGAAAAATGTATATGATCAGTAACACAGGGAAGAACTGTCTTCTTGCAGTGGTTGGAGCTTAGGATGAGAAAATGTTACTTGATGTCTGTTTAAGAACAGACATGCAAAACAGTTGAAAAATTTACTTAGTTCCTGAGTGACAGGTAAACACAGCAAAAATGCCTCTTCAGCAATGTGCAGATAACCTTGTTACAGCCTGCCCTGACACTGAAGGATTTCAGGCTCCTGATTTACAGGCTCACTCCAGAAATGGGTCAAGGCTGGGACATCTGCCTGGGTCATTTAACTGGGTGACAGGAACAACCCTGAGATGTGCCAATGCCTCGAGCTGAGGATTGCTTTCAAGTGGCTAAGCTCTCCCTTTCACTGCTTTATTTTTCTAATGAAAGGAAGTCTGATTTTAACAAATCCTACTCTCTAAATGTATTTAAGTTAATAACTGCGTGGGATTTCACCCATGCAAACTCTGCTCTTGTTGTCTGAGCAACAAAACACATCTGTGCCACACACTCCTGGCTTAGCCAGATATGAACCAAAGCACAGACAACAAATCCTTACCAGAAACTGTGAGGCAAAGTTCAGCAAAATGCCTGAAAATCAAAAATATCACAACAACCCTCAGCATACAGTAGTTAATTTTGCAGAACAACTGGGCAGCACTCTTACCCTTGTATCACTGGCCACTTAGGAGAGGCAATAGATTATATTTTCCTACATACTATTATCCAGTATTTGTTAGACTTACAGACTAGAATTGTCAAAAAGCACCAAAAATA